AAGTCTTGTTGTCATTCATTTAAGCACAAGTCTTAGAAAGAAAAAGTGGGTTGGAAAAATCATGCAGTGGTCAGAGAGGTAGTAGGCATGGAACCCGAGAGAGAGAGATAAAGAGGGACCGGGGAGAGAGACCGGGGAGAGAGAGAGAGAGAGAGAGAGAGAGAGAGAGAACAATGAGTGCATGTCCAGGACTTGGAAGGGCCCGGCGAGTTCTTCTCACTTGAAGGAGAAGCAAACGGAGGGACTGTCCTCTTGGTTTAGGGTTTAGGGCTTAGGGTTTAGGGGACGTGCACCTCTTGGAGAGTGCACCTCCCCTAAACCAAGAGGTGCACCTCCCCTGAAGCAAAACTTGGGAGGCGCACCTCTTGGAGAGTGAGTAGGAGTGTGATGAAAATGACAAGAAGCAAAACAATAGAGGTTAGCGAAGGATAGGGAGCCCAACTCTGCCCAAGGGCGCCGCATCAAGATCTGTACTTACTGGCATCGTTGATGTATAATCATCTCCAGCTATGGTGACCGTCACGTTGCCCAAGGTAAGGAGTACGTCCGGGAACTTGACCTGTTGGCTGGCCAAAATGTGACAGGTTGCATCATTGCATGCACAATGCACATCACCCAAGGATATAGAACACAATGCAGAACCACTTTCATGTTAGTGGTGTCTGCTCCTATCAGCATCACTAACACCGGTGGAGTTGTGCTTTTCAAAAAAAAAAAAAAAAAAAAAAAAAAGCATGATTCATGCTGGAGATGCAAATGTGAACAAGTGCAAACTTTACAAATGGAGCAAAGTTCAGCAAACTGAAAGATGCTTAGAAGCCGGTTGTTTGTATTACTAGGGGAGAGGGAGAGGGGGGGGGGGGAGAGAAGGGTGAATGCAGAGGCTAATGTAGGCATAAGTATCACCGCACAGCCTTCATCGGAGTTCCAGTAGTTGTTCCTTGCAAACAAAAGCATGCCATTAATTTTAAAGAGTGATGTAGATCAGCCGGCGACGACTCACCCGGTTTCCAGCAGGTGTTGCTCCCCACCAATAGATGGAGCCTTGTCTGTTAAAAAAAAAAAAAAAAAAAAAAAAAAAAAAAAAAAAGGGCCGGCAACGACTCAGTCTGCTCTTAAGCCACCGCCAGTACTGCCAGGCCACTTTTTCTTCTGGCCAGGGGTTCTGAACTCCCTGCGCACCAAGCTTTGTCGAACCGCCAGCACGACATTTTTTTTTTTTGTCTTTTGGCTGGCACCGTTAGCCACGCTAGCCATTGTAGTCCGGTAGCCCCGGAGCCCAGCTAACACAGCGCGTTGACGTCAAGGGACCGCAGTTGATGTATGGGCCAGGTGCTGGTGGTTTAAAGCACCACTACAGGGGCACCTGGGCTGCGGGCGTGAGACTTTAAATTCTGGAGGCGTGAAACGAAAATGCGATCACCGATCAAATTTATCAACGACGGACCCGGCGTTCGACGTTTCGGCCTTGTTTTCTTGTGGCGACAAGCTTCGGACTACAAGGCTGGGGCCATGTCCTCGTGGTTTAGAGCACCGTCCAGTACATAAGCACCTGGGACGCGGGCCTGACACCTCAAATTCTGGAGGCGCGAAATGAAAACGTGACCGATGATCAAATTATCAATGGCGGGCCCAGCGTTTGACGTTTCGGCCTCGTTTTCTTGTGGCGACAAGTTTCGGACTGCAAGGCTGGGGCCGTGTACGTGTGGTTTAGGTGCCTGTGTCTCACGCGTACTCGTGTCCATGGCTTTCTGGCACGGTGTGCTTTCTGTCTTTTTCATTTTCCTGCTTTCAGTTTGCCACTTCTTTCTCATGGGTTTTTATCTTCTTCTCTTAATCTTCCATCTTCAACTCCATCGTCTTCCCCGCCATTTCGGCCTTTACGCACTCGTTTGCGTCACCCCTCTACCTAAACTCAGGACAGAGATAGCGATAGATGAGGCTGTGACGAACCACTTTCTGTAACGCGCGAGTTTCTGTGCGGTTGCAACGAGGGGTCCTAAGCTGGGAAGATTGGGCCAATTGCGGGAAATCGGGATCGGTGGAAAATTGCATCAGTACCCTTGCTTTTTCGTCTTTTTCGTCGCTTCTTCGGGGCTGGGTGTGTCCTGGGACGGCCGGTGGATTGATTGGTCGGATGGTTGTTTGGCGCGACGCCACGCGCGCGCGCGACTAATATCGACGTCGTTTCTTTTGGTTCGGTTTTCGATCTTTTGGGCGCGGACATCGCGCGGGAAATTGCTTCGTTCTTTTTTTGAAATTCCTCTTGAATCTTTTTCGAATTTTGTTGAGCCCCCAATGGCTCTCGGAATTTCAGACTTTCCTTCCGAATTCATGCTTCTTTTTGCTTTCTCGCATTAGATAGGAATTTAGGAATTTAGTAATTAGGATTTTCCCTGCCACGCGGCGCATTTTGTTTACGCGCTTCTTCATGCGGCTGCAACGGAACTCTGATTAGCAGGCGCCCTTAATCGCGTGTGTAACTGTAATTTTGGGCGGACGCCATTGTAACTGTATCTCTCTTCTTGCACTTCGCCTCTCCCACCCTCCCTCTCTTTCTTTTGCTGAAATTTTGTAAGCCGCGGCTTGCATGCTCAGATCGATGCGTGAATAGTTACGTCCCCCACGCCGCGGCCGATCATGCAGGGCGCAGGCGTTCCCTCTCTAATCTTCACTGTAAGTTTTGGTAACTCCGTGCTCTTTGCGCATGCATGCACACTATAAATTTCGGCTGCGCGATTAGTCAGCTCTCTTAATCCGTTGTTGGAAGCTCAGGGCTGCGCGATCAGGAAGGGTCGGCACACGAGCAAAGTAAGAGGTGAGTAGAGTAGGAGTTGGGCGACCCGACGGGCTGGCGCCGAACGCGCGGGATTGACGTGGGCCACGACGGACTGTGGGCACGGGCGAATCCGACGGGTGCGGGAGGACTAAGTGGGGTGACGACTTCGTGGGTTGGTGCGTGACGACGGACTGTCCGCATCGAAGAAGAAGAGAGAGAGAGAGAGAG